TTGGATGTTACTATTGGAATGACCTTCCTTTATCTATACATAACTTAGCGACTAGAAAACGTTTTAAAAAGGCACTCTTCCAGTATTATTTTGCTCAGTATTAATTAATTCATACCTCATCCTCTCCTATGTTAAGTTAACTTTTTTACCCTAATTATTATTGTCAATTAAACAAGGGCATCTAATTAGCTTGCTATATTTTTGCCCTTTTCCATTTCTCCTGTTACTTGTTTACTTTATATTTATCTTTGTAATTTTAGAATGGAATACATGTAAATAAATGAAATGAAATGAAATGAAAATGAAAACTCTTCACATACATGTAATTTGCAAGATTTGTGTTTTAATTTACGGTTTAAAAATGCTATATCCTTTTTTCAATATGAAGAGCCTTCATTCTGCAGTCACTTAAAGAATGTACAAAAATATATTAAGTGTTAACAGCTTGAATGCCCTCACTGTAACAGCTGTTCCATTGGCACAGCAATGAGGGCAGTGTCTATAATTGAGGGGCTAGGGATATACATGTACATGTATTGCCAGCCACTGACATCCCCAGGATAATCAAACTCCTCTTGTGACAAACACTCACTGTTTCACTCTTATGTTTCCTGTATCTGTTTAATCATAGGCACAAAACAGGCCTCAAAGAACTTGAATTCCTAAAGAAGCTGAACTCGGCTGACCCAGATGACAAGTATCACTGCCTGCAATTGTTTCGACACTTCTTTCACAAGAATCATTTGTGTTTAGTCTTTGAATCACTCAGGTGGGCACAGTGAAATGTATGCACATTTTAGACATTGTTGATAGTACATTGCATGCTACAGTAGCTAGCTATCAGGATATTGAAGTTCCCAAGTTTCATTGTTAGCCTTGCATGTACAGGTGCTGCACATGCATTTGTGAACTATTTGATATTTTCTTATGTTCTGGTGTACATTGTATCTTAATGTATTATAATGTACGTACATGTATGAAACAAAGTACTGTAAAAACCAAATTGTACCAAGGGTATCATTAAACAACAACATTTAAGTACTACGATTGAATATTGTTTACACATACCGAAAAAGGGGAAGTTTAGCTCGCTAAGGAGACTATTCCTAAGGAAACAAAGGTGGGGACCTTCTTCCAATCAGTACATTTACCCTCAAGTGCTTGTGGATCTAGGAACATCTCTAGTTAGTCAGCACGCTTACTGTGAGATAAAAATGTACCTAAGGAGGAGGGGAAGTACACTAACAGTATTTAGGTACACTGTATATTGAACTGCATTTCCTTTGTTGAATTACAAGTGGTGGCTTATTCTTTTGTTTTACTTCAATGATACTTACAAGTACCTCTTAAAATGATTTAACAGAAGGCAATATGTACATGTAATGCTATTCATTTGCTGTTCAATTGTTTATATTTTGTTTTATTCTTGTGATTAGCATGAACTTGAGAGAAGTTTTACGCAAGTATGGTCAAAACGTGGGACTGCATTACAAAGCAGTGCGATCTTACAGTCAGCAGTTATTCCTTGCCCTGAAACTCTTGAAGAAGACTGGTATAATCCATGCAGACATTAAACCTGATAACATCCTGGTAAGGTACACTAGAATCTTGGTAGCTAGAAAAGAAGTTGAACATGCAATTTTTAAGCAGGCAGATTGTAATCACTTACAGTGTATGGTTTATCATATGCTTTTTTACAATGTGCATGTATGTTTCACACACTAGTACTACATGTATTGTAGTTGTACTATACATTTGCTTGTGTCTTCACTCCTTAAGTTTATCCAGTGCATGTGAACTACAGCAGGGTTGTCATTAATTTCTTAGTCACCTGTAGCCTTATTGTCCACACCCATAGCAAATTTGTTACTTTGTGGGTGAATTCTCTAAACAACAGGGAATTTCACCTGTAGCATCAAGGGAAAATCAGGCATACTCAGCCATAACAGGTGTTACGGCTTACGGCCCTTAATGACAGCCCTGCTACAGGGTGCTGTTCATGTACATGTATGTATGTCCTGTAGTTCGAGTCACTTAGCTATGAATAGCACAGTGTCTGGAGGGTCCAGTTCAAATGTCTTCTGAAGGCCAGAAATCATTTTAAATTTGTTTCTTTGTACGTATTTCTCAACATACATACATGTACATTCTAGAGTATAGCTGTGTTTTTGCAAGCTATCAAAGATTGTCCTCAGGCAGCAATCATTGTTTCCTGGCTCAGTGATTTGTGTAACCCCCTACAGAAGTAAAAATGCCAGGTCTCTTCTCAATATTGCTATTTTGATGTAAACCTGTTATTGTTAATCATTTTGTCTGTTTTTTGTTGCAGGTGAATGAATCAAAACTTGTTGTAAAACTGTGTGATTTTGGATCAGCTTCCTTTGCTGCAGACTGTGATATAACTCCATATCTAGTCAGTCGTTTTTATAGAGCACCTGAAATAAGTAAGTTGTTTTTTTTTTTTATCATAAAAAATATGGACATTGAGTTGTTTATATGATCATGTAGACTGATGGGTCCATTTAATTGTGACACAACTTTTATTGAACTGATTTGACCTTCCTTTGTGCTCTGTTTTGGAAAGAAAGTGGAATGCCAATTTTTTCAACCTCCAAGGGAAACGTAACCTGCAAACACATAATCTGTCTGTGTTTGGAGCAGGCTTTTACCCAGGATTTGAAAAAGTGTAAGTGAAGTCTTGGAGCCCAATGGCTCATAGCTGCTGGAGCTTATCCTGGTTTCCGTAGCATGAAGCGGCTAGGAGTATTTCTACTTCCCCTGGGTGGGAGGCTTGTCCATCGCAGGTCACTCCCCCGCAATTTGTTAGGTTTCCCCAACAATTTGCCGGTACCCATTTATGCTCTTGGGTGGAGAGAGGCACTGTGAGAGTAAAGTGTCTTGCCCAAGAACACAACACAATGTCCCCAGCCAGTGCTCGAACCCGGACCGCTCGATCTGGGGATGAGCACACTCACCATGAGGCCACCACGTCTCCCACAGGATTTGAAAAGTGGGTGTCCAAAATGTGCTATAAGGCCTGCTCAAATGAACAATTTATAAGGCAAGATATAAAAAAATAGGACAATTTTCTCTAACAAGTGGCTGTCCACAGGATGCCTGGATGCCATCTGGCTAGAGGCCTGGTTTGCAGGCTAGGGGAAATGAAGAATAAAAGCTAGAGTTTGCACCATAATTTCATGTGATGTTTTTCTTGTTTTTAGTTATAGGAGCAAAGTATGACTACAACATAGACTTATGGTCTGTGGCAACTACAGTGTTTGAGCTTTACACTGGAAAGATTATGTTTTCTGGAAAAACCAACAATGAAATGCTCAAACTGATGATGGACTACAAAGGTAAAATTCCCAACAAGATGATTCGAAAAGGGGCACTGCGGGATCAACACTTTGACGAAAATTGTAACTTTCTTTACCATGAGGTTGACAAAATCACTCAAAGGGTAAGTCATGTTAATTGTTTCGGAAAAAAAAAATTAGAGGGTACCTTAAGCTTGGTAGAAATACACCCATACATACATGTATGTATGAGAAAATTGTTAATTAGTTATTGACATGTGGCACTAATCCATTCAACAAAAATTCTGGTTTGGACTTTTCCAGTTGTCGTTGACAAATAAAAGCAAAAAGGAAGTTTCGTTATAAAAATGAATTAAAAAATTTAGATAAAAAGGGTGGCATGGAACAACATTTCCTGGAATTTCCAAAAAAGCAGACAACTTTGCGAAAATGTTTGAAAATAACTATTTCTTTCTGGGACATGACTGTATACTCGTGTAGACTGTATGAGCTTCTGCACACCATTTGACACTTGCATGTATGATTTCTGAAGGATAAGGATAATTTTATTTAATGTCATATGCAGAGGATGTGGCTACCCAAACCCTGAGCCAGAGTGATAAAAGTGTTTGACAAGTTAAAAGTACTACACATATCTATGTACACTGCAAGTGTTACTTTGGCCAAGTCTAAAAATTGTTGGTTTGATAAATTTTCTGTATATAATTTTTGTTGAAGAGAGACTGTGCATTTATACATTCCCAGCATTTGTGGAACTTACATTTTAAAGAGCACTTGCAAACTCTGTAACAGTGCTTTGATCCAAAAAGACCTGGTTTCACAATGCTGATGAGCTACTGCAACCTTCTTTTTCTAGGGAAAGATAACTGTAATGGGCACAATCAACCCAAACAAAGAAGTGGTTGAATCCTTACTTGGTTACAAAAAGCTGAACGAGGAACATAAGCGGAAAGTCATGCAACTGAAGGATCTACTTGACAAATGTCTCATGTTAGACCCAGCAAAAAGGATCTCACTCAATCAGGCTCTCACACATCCTTTCATCACAGAAAAGGTTTGAGCCGACGAACACTGTTAATAAGACTTGAGTTTTTGTGTGTTCTTGAATCCACCATTCACTCTATTCTAATTGTTAGACATTAGACATTTTAAGAGCGGCTCTTAGATACATGTAGTTGCACACTTTTGTGAATGGCTGCATATGTCTTCACAAACTGTTGTTTGTAATTTTTCACACACAAAGCTACATGCTCTTATTCTGAGACTAATGGGGCCACTGCATACATTCTACAGAAAGATATATGTACAAGGAAGCAAAGTTTGTGTTAAGGTGTAGTCTCAGTGATGTGAAGTCATGGGCATTGTACACTGTAGGACAGCTTCTTTTGGGAAACCTAAGTTCATTCCTATCACACTTTCACATGATGCATGCAAATTGCATCAAGTAATCATTGTTACAGAGTGTAAGTCAATAGATCCTTTGTATACTAGTCACGAATTTCCAAAACAGTACACACATCATGGGCAATGCGCATGTGTTTTTCATTATGTTATGCCCAGGTCAAACAGTTCCAATGTGGGAGGAAATGAAATCTTGTTTGACCTTCCTGTTTTGGACTGCATACAATGTTGACATGCCGTGATACTGATCGCAAATGTTTGATCATTGTTGGAAAAATGATGTCATTGTTGAAAAATGTTGGGAACGTTCTAACCAGGGCTTGTGTTAGTTGAACTCAGGGCTCAGACGTGAGTGACAAAGAGTTTCAAATCACGCTTTAAATAATATGAAAAAAAGAACCATCCATGATGTAGACTGTATTGTTATGTGGTGTATAAGTGCAAACTGCCACCCCTAAATTTAGCTAGAATGTTTTGAAAAGAACGGAAAAAAATACCTAGTTGTAGATTAAATGATGAACTTCTCTATATCTTGTGATTCTTTTAGCCCTACTTAAGCAGTGTCGTTTTTCCATTACTAATTAGCCAATTCGACCATTATTGTAGCAACTAAGCTAAGATTAAGTTTGTAAATACAGTTATGGTGCGCAAATTGTGTGTTGGTTATTTTTGGGGGGAGGGAAAATACATGTTTGCTGTCTTTTGATTCTTAATTTTAAAGTTTTTTTTGAATGAGTAAATTTATAAGTGTATCAACTTGTTTATTGGGTTCTGGCCTTCAAAGCTTAACCAGAGGATCTACACCGTAATATCATGGGTGACAAATTACTCCATAATTTTGGCGCGAAATTTAAGCGTTAATTTATAAGTTCACATGTGAAATTACCAAACTTCCATGGCAACGTTTGGCGCAAAATTTCTCGTGTACTCGTGAAATTACGAAATAATTTCACTTGCGCATTGTACGCACGCACTCATGTTTGGGTTTTGTGCTGCTCTCTTGTCTGGATTTCATGTTGGCTTTCGCGTGATGGAATTACAGAGTATGAACCATCTCCCTTGTCTTGGCTCTGTCGTTCGAGCAAGGTAACTCGAAGCTCTGCCACAAACAAGAGAGCTCTCAGCTCACAGCTTAACCCCGAATAGCAGGCTAATACTTACTGCGGAACGCACCGTGTATTTCTTATGCAAGGACTGTGCATCCAACCTTGAACATTACGTTTTTAACCGACAATAGATCGTACAGGAAAACAGTAATATTGAAATTAATATTACAACTAATTATTATTAATTGTATTGATTTTGCCGTCTTAAGATGGCAGTGTATTGTGATAACTTAGCAGCCAGTTATCTGCAGTCAGAAATATGGCAATTAACTTTATTAAAAGCAGCTCCTTATTTACCCAGATTTTGCTTTGTAGTGGCAAAATTAGTTGAAACCAGATTAAAGATTATTATTTTCTTGATTATATTTTTCTTTTATCATATTCTGACTGTAATGTGTTATAGTTTCCCCACAGGAACAACCTTGGTACTGAGTGACAATCAGCTTAACATGTTCAAGAATAGCTATAGCATTTATTTCTCCAGTACCTAGGGTAATGTTCGCTGTTATTTCAAGCTTCCTACTAAATTTGAAGGTTCTATGCCAATAATTAAAAGTCTGAAATTACTTTCGATTGCTACAGTTCTTTATATCTGAATAAATTTAGACAGTGCTGCACTTTCTCAGAGTAACCAGAACTGAAAATAGTGGATTGGTCGTGTTTGTGGAAATCAAAACCAAATGTACAGTTGCAGTGTAGTCATAAATGGAAATGTATTAGTTCACCTAGTCTACCTCTCTAGGTGGAAAAAGTCTTGAATTGGACTGTGTTGATCACACTAGGTGGACCACTCCAGAGTTGGAACTATAAATATTGATAATAATGTAATCATTTTGTCATGAACGTTTTAAGTGGCGTTAGCAGTGCCAGTCAGAGTCTCCCTGTTTCCCTCAAGGGTTGTTAAAGGAGCTCAGTCACGGTTTGCACATTTTGAAAAGTTTAGCCTCAATTTTTCAAATTCGTCGTTTGCAATCCGTGTCAATCTTCGCCCTCCTTGACCATCCTTGTTCCTTTATGGTTCATTGTTATCTATTTGATGTTTCCCTATCTTAGTAAACTATTATTTTCAAGTTTCTTTCCAATTAAAGGAGATTTTGTCGGTGGCCAAAGACGAAACACCGTGACTGAGCTCCTTTAAGGTTTGAATAAATTCAAACATGGGGAAGTAGGGGCTTGTTGGTGGTATTGAGACAATTTTGAAGACATAGACAGTGTACAATCGACCTTATCGAAGCACAGTATTTTGGTATCATTGCTAACCAGTTCTTCTCTTACATTTTGCCTTTATGCTGGTTGTGCTACTGAATCCTCACACGGTTATACGGTGAAATGGATTAAAGAGATATCGCATCTTTATTGGAGGTATTCCTGTGAGACATAACACAAAGGACATGGAAAACCTAAATGTACAGTGGCTCAAAAGGTCTTGGTTTCCCAGTATTTGACATTGCAATACGGGAGTATTTGTCAGTGTATTTACAGGTGTTTTGCTTTCACGTTTTGTTTCCTTCAGTTTACTTGCATGTAACATGATATTTATTTGAATTCCTGCCTTTCTCATTGATTCTGGTTGGAACCCTTCTTTGTGACCATTCAGTGCGGATTGAGTACTTTCATGTAGCGTGTTTCAGTAATACGCTGTACAGGCTGGTTCTGATTTTTAAGGCCGTAGTAGGTAAAACCATGTTGTCACACCATGCAGGTGAAAAGCTACTCGTAAAAGAGAGTACATGTATCTTAAGCTGCAGTGTAAGAATATGACTATGCATGTAGTTATCAAGTTGGCTTGATGAGAAACATCACATTAAGTTTTGAACATTTTTGGCTGACATATTTACGCGTGTGTGCTCTATCTACAAGATCCCTCGCAAGGCTTAACAGAGATCAACATCAATGTAGATGATGGTCAGCGAGAAAATAGCATCATGATGTACAACCAATTCTAAAAACTTACATAAAAGTGTCTAGCAATTAGTGAGGTGACCAAAGTTACTTTGTCAACGAAGCGAAGCCCTGAAGCCCAGTATGCCTGGCAATGGTGGAAGCTTAAGACTTTATCTGAAAGAACTAGAAGCCGAGCTATTACAGAGCTTAAAGGAGCTCAGTCACGGTATTTTGAGTTATTTTGGCCACGTACAAAACTAGCTTTAAATTGAAGGACACCTGAAAATAATAGTTTACTTTGATAGAAAAACACTAAAGAGATAATACTAAACCATAAAAGAACAAGGATGGTTGAGGATGGAGAAGATTGACACGGATTACAAACCACGAACTGGAACAATTTAGGCTTAACTTTTCAAGATCTGCAAACTGTGACGTAGCTCCTTTTAAGGGAAACAGAGTACGTACACTAACATGTGCGGGGAAGGTTGGATGCAACAGCTTGCTTGCAGTTGAATTAGATTCATTTTGTAACATTTTTTAGTCTCCGTAAAGCTTTCCAAAATTGTTTTTAAAATACGCCCTTTTTAGAGCCCCACTTCTGATGTACATGTATCCATCAGTTTCGTTAAGTTGGTTTCCCATCAGTGTTTTTTGTTTCCACTGCAGGTGGTAGAAGGCAGTCAGAGGTAACCAAAGGTACTGTGACATCATTGAGATTAATAATTATTTATTAATAGCAAGAGGGGATGAAGGGCAAAATAAATAAATAAATAAATAATAAATAAATTGAAATATTTAGAGAGGAAGCCACATCAGCCTTAACTGGTTTTCATGTGAGCCCTACATCCTGGTCGTATTGGAATTTGGAGACGTTGGTTTTTGTGGAGGGAAGAAAACCAGTGTACCCGTCGAAAAACCCTCGGAGCAAGGCGACATACCCACATACATTGTATGACACTGGACCGGAATCTACCCCGGGCCACACTGTTGGGAGGTAAGCGCTCTTTCCACGACGCCAATCCTGCTCCCCGGTTGTTGGTTAATCCCCAACCCACTGTTATTTACATGTAGCATTTGCCAAAAACTGAAAAGGAATCGTCTGCGTTCAACCAAGCTAACAGCGCGGAACCTCACATTTACAAGTCGAGCCACTTGCTAATCCTCTCCCAATTCTTGTGCCAGGTTTCCCTTTGGGTTCCTGTCATCTCACGAGCACTGACTTCATCAAATTTACATAGCTTGCCATCGTTTATGGATTTCTACAGATCTCTACGTCTAAGCTTTTCAAAAATTACAATAGTGAAAATTAGCGGGATTGCTTCTATTATTTTCATTATCCCACTGATCAAGTGATTTGATACTTATATACTTGTTTTCTTCTCCTAGGTGAGTCGTGGAGACCTTTCAGTAAAAGTATCAGCGAGCATGCAACCTGTGAACTACCCGTGCGTTGACTAAACTTTGCGCCAGGACCTTGCTTGCGCTTCGTGCCCAAGACAGAGAAAACGATTAGGACTAAGCCTGACTAAGCTTGGATTTTGACCAATCACGCCTCACTGGTCTCAAACATTCTCTAGAAATAAGCTAACGAGATTGTAACTCTTTTCTCTCAAAGCTTGAGATCAATTTTCGGGTTGCACTTTCCAAACGAATTGCCCGTCGTGGATTTCCTGTAGATCAGCGCGTGTATAACTGTTTCAGTATCGAATTGGGAAGAAATCTCAAGGTTAGCTTGTGATCACAGTATCCACAAATACCTGCAGGAGGAGTCTAGTAACAATGACTTGGGATTTTTGCAAGCGCCGTGATTAAAGTTCGATGCATCTCTGCTTTATTGTGTTATAAATTTTAAGTTATGTAGTGAACAACATGGCATGCCGGAGTCTGTTGTTGATTTTACCTGAGCTTAGCCTGAGTATCCTGATTTTCTCTCCCTTCTCTTCCCCGGCATGATACTCGGGCTAACTTGAGTTGGTCTTAGATCAGGCTTTTGCTTCCACCATCTCCATAAACGAACCCCTGATTTCAGCATAGTTAATAGAGGGGAATGGTTATGAAACCCGACAAATGTCTTTGTTGTAGATTTTTGTTCGCTTTTTTGGCCTTGACCGTGCACAAAACACAATAGTTGTTTACTCCGTACTGCGGAACTAACCAATAGAAACGTTTTGGTTACGTAATTCACGCAGTGTATGAACGCAAAACAAAAGATTGTGCACGGTCGGGACCCTCCAACATAAATCTTGGCATCGTTGTTTGCTCCTTTGATGTTTGCCGGGCTTCATAACCATTCCCCTCTGAAAACTAATATTTCAGGTTATGATTGATTGTGTAGTACCAAATGATAAAAAAAGAACTCGAGTGACATCCTAATCTGACTTGTTTATTTTTTGTAGAAGTTGCACTGCTTTCCCTTAAAAAAAATTTGTTCCTTGGCGTACTAGAAGGCGCTCACTTTTATTATTCGTTACGCAGCCAGTTAGCAATTGAGTTTTGGTTAAAATACAAATCGTTAAAGATGAACGTGCTTGCATGCACTTGGGAGTAGCACTAGTTTAAAATCTGAATCGATTATCCCGAGGTCCCGCGGTAGAAAGAAACTTAGTTCGCTGTTCGGAAATTTCGAAAGGAACCCCCCAAAGGTACCAAGATCGTGTTTTGTGGGCGTAGCTTGATTGGTTTTCCACCCCTAAGGCCCAGTTCAGACGTCGAACTTTTCATGAGCCGAACCTACTACGTTGAGTTAAGTACAAGAGAAGTTCGGCCTCTAAATGAGTTAATATTGGAACGGCTAAGCTATTCTTCCCCTGTAGCTCAGCCGGGAATTTCGGCTTTGGAACGGCTTTGATTCAGACTTCGAACTTTTCATGTGCCGAACCTAATGTATAAATTATTATAACGTATTTTAAAAGCAGTTTACACTTTGCCTGAAAATCGCTGGCATTTCGATGTGATTTGGTTCAAACTAAATAAAGTTCGCCGAATTAAGTTGGACGTCTGAATCAACAGCCGTACTTTTGATAATTTGGGTCCAAATTCGAATTAAGTTTGGCTCATGAAAAGTTCGAAGTCTGAACTGGGCCTAAGAGGTATCAAATCTAAAACAACACGATTGCTTCGAATACCTACTCGTACGTTAAGTGGGTTGTCAAATATCTCCTGTTAATTATTTTTTGGGCTCAATAAAGGTCAATAAGGCCGAACAGCCTAAGAGGTACCAAGACCGCTTATTTAATTAATCCCTGAAAGGTCATGATATGCTCCTGAAAAGGTACAGCCGGAGTGCCCCCGTCCTTTTATATGGGAGTTCCCCCCGGCTTGAGTACTGTCATGTATTGGTCAGCGGTTTTGTTACGCATGCTTAATAAAGGGGCGGACCCTGTTCATGTATGGCCGCCATGTTGAAATGTAGTTGTTTGTGGCGTGTGTTTCCATCGGGCCTAATCAGACCTAATAGAAGCCATCCGAAGGTTTCCCGATATTTAACAAGTACAAGTTCTCCAAGGTCAGATTTGGTTGCTAACTACTAACTGACACGTTACATAAAAATATCGTTAAGTTTCGTCACCATCGTAAAATTACACGTATAGTAGACACTGAGTACCTTACAATGTGTTAGATCAAGAGATAATCTCTTGGTTGGACGAGAAGTAAAGCGTTACACATCACCACACCACCTTTTTTTCTTTTTTTTTTTTTTTTTTTTTTTTGCAGTAACCCGTGATCAGGCGTAACTTCGGTGGCAAATATTTTGCTTCCGAGAAGGAAAAATGCTTTGGAATTCTCAGAAACATGTTGCTTCAGCAGCAAATGTTCCCAAATTCCGCCCCGCCAAGAAATCTTTAGGAAACTATCTTTGTTTGTCTGCGGTTATCGGGATGTACAAAACTGCCTGTAAACCGAAGGATCGCTAACTGCAGTGTACAGCGTAGGAACAAGAAAGTACTAATAATATGCCAAAAAGAAACAAAGATGATAAGATTTGAGAAAGATTGAGGCAGATTACAAATTGTATATCGTTCATGAAAGTATTGTTCCCAGAATGTACTACTCTACTTATGGATTCCATGACGTCATATCAGTAAAAACAGGAGATGAACAACATAAAAACCGCTGCGACAAACACAAGGCTGCATTAGGCCAGTTTGTCATAGGAGCTCGTGATCTCCTCACACTCTGGCTCTTTCTTCAACGGAGTATTGATGACTGGCTTGGAGAGCTGTGTCTTTCGAAAGCCCTAAGAAACAGAAAACATAAGATTGTGAAAAATTCAACTGAAGTGCTCCTACTGTACGGAGAGCGGCGGAGAGTAGTTGAAAGCACTGGAAATCAGGTATGTTTCCGGCAGCCAAGTTCGTCTTCACTGAGCTTGTTCTCACGACTCCACGTCTACCGATATTGGTACGGGGGGGCGGGGGGGGGGGGGGG